GGTCCTAATCCAATATCTCGAGGCCTCTCCACGGGACGGCCGAGCATTCAGCTACAAGGGCAAAGCCAGGAAGGACAAGAGCAAAGACAAGACAAATAATAAGTACAAGACCGCGGTCCTGGACGCGGACAAGGATAAGGACAACGCCATGGGCATTCCTGGATGCGCGGACTTCACCTTCACCGCGGATTCCGACGAAGACGAACCTGCTCATCAGCAGGTACCCCCCGCAGACCATCGGCATGGTGTCAACATTCTTCCTGATAAAGCTGTACCTCATGCGCATTTCCTCCAGCGCCCCGACCTTTGTCGTCTTCGCTGCTACAGTTCGGCTCACGCGCTGTCCAGCTTCGACGATCACCAGATCACATCCTTGTTCTCGTCTGAGGACAACCCCACCGTGTCCAACGTCTTCGAGAAGGACATGAGAGGCCGCTAGGCCGTCGGCCGCGCGCGCGCCGCCGCGCTCGGGAGAAGCTGCCCCCCCATCAGCACGCTCGACTCCTCCTTCTCCTCATCATCTTCCTCCATTTCATCTCCTACCTTTTTTCGTGCTTTTCCTCCTTCCCCAGCCCCTCCTCTCATCCTCCTCCCTCTCATGGTCCCCCCTTCATTCCCGCTCAGACAGAGTGCGGTAGCTTGTCTGATTGGAACTGGGCAATTGCGCGCGCACGTACTAACTGTGAACGCGATGCACCCCAAGACGCCCAAACCCCCATCAGGGCATGCACGCTCGCATTCTTCACGTAGCACACGCATGTCTATGAATATTATCCCCACATGCGCGCGTGGCAATGGTTGGTACAACATTGTGCCACATTGCATGGTTCCTGACGCACGTGGCTGTTTGCCCAAGATCTTCAGAGAAGATCTTCACGGAGCCTCGGCGCGGAGGTCTGCAACGGAGATCTCCACGCTGGGGGTCCCCCCGGGCACCCAGATCGCCCAAGACGGCCCAGCATGACCTCCAAGACGACCCACAAGGCCCCCGTGCAGAGGCCCCCAGCACGGCCCGAAAGGTCCACAGCAGGAAGATCTACATTGAAGATCTTTCAGCTGGGGGGCCTCGGCTTGGAAATCGGTAGTGGGGATATATATTCGCTTGAGGCCTTGAGCGCGAGGACCTTCAGTTAGATCTTCACGCTCGGGATATTTTCGGGCTTCCAGGTCGCCAGAGAACCCCAATGCGGCCTCCAAGACAAAACCCTAAGGGTCACAGTACAGGTGCAGCTCCTCGCGCGAAGATCTGTAGTGAAGATCTTCACGCTTGGGGCCTCAGCGCGAAGATCTTCAGTGAAAGTGCTCGCGCTGGGGACCTCTTCGGGCCTCCAGGTCGCCAGAGAAGCCCAATATGGCTTCCAAGACAGCCCAAAAAGGCTCCCAGGACAGGCCCAGAGGCCCCCGACGAAGCCCAATATGATCCTCGCGCGAAGATCTTCACTGAAGATCTCCACGCTGGAGGCCTCGGCGCAGCGATCTACAGCGGAGAACTCCACGCTGGAGGTGTGCCGGGGCCTCCCAGATCACCCAAGATATCCCAGAAATGTCTCCAAGAGACCACCCAAAACGTTCCAAAGGCCCCCAGCACGACCAGAGAGGCCCCCATCAAGAAAGATCTACACTGAAGATCTTTACGCTGGGAGCCTCAGCATCAGCATGGAAATCTACAGTGGGGATTCCCACTCTTTGAGGCTCAGCGCGAAGATCTTCAATTAATATCTTTGCGTTTTTTTTTGAACCGCTGAATCGCCAGAGAAGCCGAATATTGCCTCCGAGACAACCCCAAAGGATCTCAGGGCATCCCCAGAGACCCCCGACCAAACCCAAGAGGCTCCCCGCTGAGGCCTCAGCGCGAAGATCTTCAGCGAAGATCTTCCTACTGAAGACCTTCCAATCCTCCTCCTCCTTCTCCTCGTCCTCATTTCCACCTCCTCCTCCCCTTCTCTTTCTCGTCCTGCTCCTCATCCTTTCCTTCCTCCTCCTTGTCCTCCTCCCCCTGCTCCTCCTCCTCCTCTTCCTCTCTCTACCTCCTTCTCCTCCTCATACTCCTCTCGTTTTCATCGCGCGAGGGGGGGGCGCTGCCTCAATGAACGCAGTTTGCACAGCGTAGCATAGCTGCAGGGCGCAGCAGCGAGCCCATCATTCAATCCCCACACATGATATGGTAATCAGGTCCCCATGGGATTGCGAGGGCCGATGCAAATGTCCAACGATGGTCCACTGTGGCGCGTTGTTTTCTCCACTCGCAGTGTTCGGCAATGCGTTGCAAGGCGTGGAACGACATACCATCCTATGTTGCGACACGCGAAATTATGATATTACATGAAATTTGATGCGATGCAGTGATGTTCGATGCAACGCCATGCTATGCTATGCTGAGTTATGCGTACACACCGATTTTTGTTTGAAGAAATCTAGAAAGTTGTTGCATAGCATACGAATGCACGGCAACGCTTGGCAATGCAGAACATTGCGTCGCCAAAACCCTATCGCGACTTGCCGCCCCGCCGCCCCGTCTATGGGCAGCGCAGCTGTCGGCGCCCCCCCGGGATCTGCCTGGGCCGCAGGGGCGCCGCGTTCTAGCCCATACCGCCGCCCCCGGCCGCGGACGCCCCCCCCCCCCCAGGGCCCCCCTCCAGAACCCCCCCCCCCCCCTTTCCACCCGCAAGGCCCCCCCCCCCCCCTTTTTTGAGGAAGCGTAAGCTTCGAGAAAGCCGGAGTGCGGACTTGCCGATTTATTCTGACGATCGCGCCCCAGCTTTTGACGGCCCCGTTTTCGTGGGACGTCTGCAGCGGGAGCCCGCATCAAATTTCAGATTGGGTCTCGTCGTCTTCATGATGGCCCCCTCCAGGCCAACCCAAGCCCCTCGCGCCAGAGTCTCGCGTTTTTCCCCGAGGGGGCCCCAAGCCCCGCCCTGTCCGCTGAGGGGGCCGGGGGGGGGGGCCGCCGGGCCCCAAGGGGGGCGGCAATCTGACCCGGGACCCCCCCCGCGCGCCACCGCCTTTGCCCCCCCCCCCGCCCGCCCCCCGTCATGGGCGGGAAAAGGTGGGGAACCGACCGAACTACAACTGCCACGTTTCTTGTCCACGACGCCGGCGATGACGACGGCGGCGACGACGACGACGGCGCCTCGCCCGCGCTGAAGGGTCGGCGGATTTGAAGAATTAAGTTGATGAGCCTCTATACATTGGGTTTGTCCCCACGAACGGTCGCGCCCCCGGAACGCAGCAGGCGGAGCTGCGACGCCTGCGCGTCGCCGCCGGCAACTTTCACGTCAGCGGCAATGAGCTCGAGCGGCGCCCCCCCCAACCTGAGGGGGCTCGAGGGCGGATGTCCCGCGCGACCCTCCGGCCCGCCCCGGCAGCGCAGCGCCCGCCGCTACTGGGGCGGAAACGCATGCGCGCCCGACGGGCTCAGAAGACGCCCCCCATAACGCACTGGCACAGATTGCTACTCCTCAGTCCTCCGCGCCCCCCGAACAACACGCCTCGGAAGTTTGATCCGCGCCAAGGGTTGCTACCGCCAGCGCGCCGCCCACGCGGAGGGCGCATCTCGCGCGGCAGTGGCCCGGCGGGGGGGGGCCAGACCACTGGCGACTTCCTCGCGCCGCGAAGGGACATCTGAAACATCGAAAACCTCGTGAGACGGACCAGTGGCTTTCAACGAGCCCCTAATGACGCGGCCAACTACGCGCCATCCAGGAGCGCGGGGCGCCTTCGAAACATTTTGGATACGCTGCCCGCGCGAATGGCCTGGCCTCCGGCGGACTTCCTGGTCAACATTTGAGAAACGCACGGACTGGGCCGGGGCCGCGGTGGCGCGCGGTGGATCGCGGCGCGAAAACCAGGGAAGGCCCAGTAGAGCGCGGGCGCGCGCCCAAGCAGCAATGTCCTCAACAGATAGATCTTGTCTCACGGTCCCAGGGTCCACAATCGCATCGGACAACAGCTTGAGGAATAATTCCTCGGGCTTCGCAGCCCGCGCCCCCGATTGGCCCCAGGCGTCGCCGATGACGGAATGGCGCGTGGAACGGGCGAGTTGCAAAGGTCGTTCCATGGCTGTCCACGCGGAACGGGTATCAGAAAACAGAAGTACGCCATCGACGCACGAGCCGCTCGGCGACCTGCGCTGCGCGCACGGGGTGGAAGATGGACAGCAGAGCGCCAGGTTTGCGTAATTTTTTGGCGTTTGCCACAGGAGTCACCCGAGGAGCTGCCAGTTGCTTTCCGCAGCCTTAAGGCTAGGAGTCTAAGCCTCACGCGCAAGTTCAACAAGTCGCACGTCTGAAAATCGCACGAGCAGACTTGTTCCAAGACGTGCTTCACTCGGTACCTGTCGGACAAATCGAGTTGGTTAACTTACGACGCGAAGAAGCAGGTTTCTCAACAATGCGCCGCATGAGCGGCATCCGACGATGAAGAAACGAGGAACTCACATTGGATGTGCAAGCAGCGGTGGCACACGACGCACCATCAGCCATAATGGACATTGCCTCCGAGCCTCAATTTGCCCAGTTGCGACAGAGGCACGCGTTTCGATCATAGATTTACGCATCTACATCTATGTATCCATCGGTTTCCCTATCTATGTATATATATATACATATGTAGATGTAAATGTATATATATATATATACATATTGCACGGGGCCATACAAGAACCCTACAATCGCTGCCTGTGGCCACTTCCTCTGCGCGCGAATTGCTGGAGACGTCGCCGCAGCGCGCGCCTCAAATAAGCTCGGGCATGCGACGCCGATAATGTCGTGCCATGTCATGTCCAGTGGCCCTCATGCCCCGCTAAGTGCACATGCGGCTTGCTGGATGATGAGATAGACATCGCGGAATGTCAGGAAACAGGCCGAGCCCTTGCACTGACGAGTTTGCGGCGGGCGCGAAAGCGAGGCGGGCGCCAGCGGGGGCGGGGGCGCCTTGGACGAACGGGCGATCCCAATTGCTTGCGTTCTCGGTGGGAGGCCACATCGGGAGGAGTAGCTCACCTAGTGAACGTAGCCTTTATGGCGTTATTCGCCCCGTTGATCTCGGCAGACATCAGCGGGGCGAAGCACACGTTGCCGACGCATTTTCGGTGCAATTTGTAGTTCGCCGCCGCGGCCCCCGCGACCGGGCAGCATGATGGCTCGAATATGTTCGCGCAATCGCGCTGGGGGGCCAGGCCAGGCCCAGCGTCGAGCCGCGCGGGCACGTGGAGTGTCGCGCGCGAGAAAATGGCATGCAACTTCCTGTCGAATCAGACACAGACAACGCAGCCTGCAGACCTTGTTCCAATGCCGAGTCGCAGGTGCCACGCCGTTGAATCGCAGATTTCGGAAATAACCGCATCACCTGAGAGGCCCATGCTGGCTCACTCCTGTCGCGGAGCACGAGCCTCTAGCGAACAAGTGCAAGAGCTTCGAACGCGTGCCCCACCAGCGGCTGAACATGAATTGCATTGCATCTTCGGCGGGAAGTCGCAGGCCGCAGTGAAGCAATGGCAGGATCGGCAGCAGCAGCGAAGCCGCTCAGATCATCGCCCCGTGCCCCCTGCCAAAACCAGGAAGGCCTCGGCATATCAGACGATGGGCCGACGGTGTTCAGTGCGTCGCGAAAGAGCTGAACAAGACCGTCACGAGCCAGAGATGGTCTGAAAGGAGAGGGTCAGGTCACGCTCGAAGGCGACGTGACGCGCGTGCGATTTGAATTATGTGCGTAGAAAACCGCAAGACCCGCCGTTGCCTAAATGCCTGAGCGGATTGCGAAAGTCCTTAGGGCGCGGTCGAGCTCTCACATTTTTTCCAAGCGGCAGCAGCGGCAGCAGCGGCAGCAGTAGCGCAGCGGACGCCGACAAATTGCTGGACGAGACGATTTCCTGTCGCGAAGGCCGCTCGCACATCGGGACCGTGCTCTGACAGTCGAGCGCCCGCGCAACACGGCCGCAGCGAAGCGGAGGAGGTCTCACTCGGGGTGGGCCGCCCGCTCCTCCGACACAGCGCCGTTGCTGCAGCGGCGCGGCGGACACCGCAACGCACTCTGGAGGAGCGGTCGGCGGGCGGATGGAGAGCCGTGCGAGCGCAGCTGCAATCGCGTGCCAGGATGCATGGGTCTCTCGTGGATTTTGTCCGGGGCGTTTTCTCCTCTCAGTGGTGGAGAAACCTCGTGAGCACAGTCGATTCATTTGCCCCTTCTCCACTCCTCCCATGGGCGCCCCCCGCCACGCGTGGCAAGATAGCGCGGTGGCGGCCAAAGTGAGACTCCGCGCCGCCGTGATGGACGGCCGCCGCCCCCGTCAACAGCGAGTGCTCGCCTCGGTCGCTCCGGCGACCCCTGTTCCTTGACCTCGTGCCCCCCCTCCGCCTTCACATTTACAGCTGGCCCCCCCTCTCCCTCGCCAACTTTCAGACGCTGAGATCTGCTAGCGATAGGCCGAGTTTCGTGGGATGCTCGCGCAACCTCCGCCCTCTTGGGCATGGGCCCACCTTGCGATGTGGCCGGCGCCTGGACCACCCCCCAACTACAGACAGCCAGGTAAAGTTGGCACGATTTGCCTGGATTGGACGCACGACTGAAACTCCAGACGGCGCACGGGCGCGAGCGCGCCCAGGTGCGCTGAGGAGCTCCCACAGGCTAGTTGGAAGAGGGATTGCTGTGCTCAAGCGGGCCGGGGCCGTTGATTTGTTGGCTCAAGGGGCGGCGGCGAAGGCGACGACGACGACGACGAGGACGACGACGACGACGACGACGACGACGACGACGACGACGACGACGACGACGACAACGGCGACGTCGGCGACAGCGACGGCGAAGGCGGTTGCGGTGGCGACGACGAAGACGCTGGCGACGGCGAGGTCCAGCGATCAGAACGCCCGACGGCCCAAACGTCGGAACCCAGAGAAGCAGCCCAATAAAATTTTAGAAGGAGCCGCCTGAACAAAGTCCTAGCAGAAAAGCCTCAGTGATATTGTAGAAGGCGCCTAGCCCCGTGCCGTGGGCAAGTCGCACTCGGATTCCATGGCTGCCGTCATTCGTATTATATATGGGTACACTGGTCAGACAGGATCCGTGCGAAACTCTTGATCGTCCCACCATTCGGACCCGTCCAATACCCAGCGAATTTGCACCAATTCCTTCTTAAAAGCTTCGGGCCTCATAGGATCCGTAGCGGATCCGTACCCGGATCCGACGCCCGAGGCGACGCGGACACGCCCGAAAAGAAACCCGCGTCACCGTCAGCGGGGGCCCTTGCGTGCGTTTTCCGGTGCTTCACGCTGCGCCCATCGCCCGCGGTTTGCCGCCAAATCATTTTTCCCCAGGCTGGCTGCGCCGACGGCCTCTGGCCAGGCTGGACCAACAGTCCGGTACTTTTTTGCGATTTGAATCTTCGGGCCGAACTCTCAAATCGTACCAAGTTATCTGATTGTCGGTCTGGATGTTCGGCCCTGTGGTTTTGGATGTGGGCCCCAGCACGTGATGACTTCAGCCTTTCCATGTCTTGTCCTATCACTCGCCTTGGACTGGGTATGGAACCCGCTCCTGCGCTGGAGTATCCACGTGCCCGCTTGCGTCAAATGAATTCCCCAAGCTGTGTTTGCATTCGGGGGCTGCTACCTGCCTTTGAAGGAGCTGGGCACGCCTGCGGGCCCGGCGGCCCCGTTCCCGTCAGTCGCCGCTCCATGTGTCCAAAGGCAAGGCTCGTCTGCGGGCCTCGCGGCCCCGGCCCCGTCCGTCGCCGCACCACATCGTTTACACCACATAGATCCTGAATCTAAGCATCTCTACCACCTCCCCAGCTTTATCGCGAGCCCTTGGGGTAGCACAGGTGGCAGATGTGCTTACCTCATCGCTCATGTTGCATATGAGTTTGCACCATCCCAGGGGATACCCTTTGTCGCTTCCCCCCTTACCCCTGCCAAATACTGACGAACAAATTGTCAAGATCCCCTTGCAGCAAATATGACATGGTCCACACGCGCGCGTCGTCGCGCGCGCAAGTCTTATGTGTCGTCAGGGTTTCAAGATCCAGGTGTCGAAAACCTGTAACATTATCCTGGCGAAGGACCCAACCATATGCAGTTGTGAGTACCGCAGTTGTGAATACCGTCTTCGGCGAAGCTCCCTATGGGAGCACGAAGCGTGTGAACGGAGTGCCGACATGGACGGGGAGCCGCATGCGAACCCTGCCACTGGGGCCTCCGATGGAGCTCTCTATGAGGAGAGGCGAAACGTGTGAGGGGTGCGCCGCAATAGGGGTGGAACCCAGTGCGAACGCAGTCACTGCGGCCTTCGGGGAGGGTCCTATGGGGCCATCGCGTGCGAACCGTGCCGCTGCGGCGTTCGGTGGAGCTTCCTATGGGGTCCCGGGATGGGGGGCGGAATTGCATGCGAGCGCAGCCAGTGGGGCCTTCGGTGGAGCTCCCAAGGGGGCATGAAACGTGTGAGAGGTGCTCCAGCATGGAAGGTGGAACAGCATGCGAACGCAGTCACTGGGGTCTTCGGTGGAGCTTCCCAGGCTGCCACGAAACGCGTGAGGGGTGTGCCAGGATGGGGGGCGGAACGGCATGAGCACGCAGCCACTGGAGCCTTCGGTGGAACTCCTTATGGGAAGGGGGGGAGGCGAAACGTTGGAGGGGTGTGCCGAATGGAGGTGAAATCGCATGCGAACCGTGCCACTGCGGCCTTCGGTGGAGCGCCCTATGGGAGCACGGAATGTGTGAGGAGTGCGCCGAACCGGTCGTGTGAAGGGCAGAGGCATGGGTGTGAGGAGGGAGGATGAGAGGAGAGGACAGGAGGAGGAAGGACGCGGGAGGTTTCTTTTCGAAGCGAGGACCCAACACAGGATGGGCTGGAAAGCACTTGATTTTCAACATCATGCAATCTGCGCGCGCGCTCCCGCGAATCCGTCGAATAGGACCACGCGGGCCTCTCGCGCGCGCATGTCCAAATTATTCGAGTGCCCTCGCGAGCTTGCTGGGGAGGCGCGATCCCAGTTGAATATCACCATGCGGGCCGCTCGCGCGCGTCGGCCGCCCGCGCATGTCGAAATTATTCTCAGACCTTCGTCAGTGGCACGTGGACATCATCGTCATCGGCGTGACACACATCGGCGCCGTCATTGGCATTGCCGTCGTCATCGTCACCTTCGTCACCATGATCGCTACTATCATCATCGTTTCCGCCGTTGTCGACGTCACAATGATACAGCGCCCGCCCGAGTCACCGACCCGCACTGAAGTGCCCGCGCGCCAGCGTAGCCTGTGAGACGCGTTGGGAAGTCCCCATCGGTCAGCGCCACCGCGGCCGCGTCGGTTGTGCCAAACTAGTTGGCGGCTCTGCTCGCGAGTTTGCGCACGCTAGCGCGCCCGCAAATATGCGCCAGCCAGCGCCGAGCAGTCATCCCCGCCGCCACCGCATAATTTGTATAAGCCTAGTTGCGGGTGGGAGGGTAAGGTGCTTGAGCGAGCAAAGGAAGTGACAATTCCAAGGTGTCCAAAGTTATGTGCACAAGGCAGATTGCACCATAGAGGGTGGTCTACACAGCTTACACCACGTAATTCACACCACATAGTTCGAAACACATCTCTTTCGCAGCATAGCTTGTTTCACCTAGCTTGCACCACATAGCTTGCACCACGTAGATCGCACCTCACAGCTTGCACCGCATAGATTGCACAGCATAGCTTGCACCATATAGCAGATGTCAGGTAGCCCACACAAAATAGCTGACACCACCTAGCGCACACAATATAGCTTACATCACGTAGCTTGCACCACATTGCGTGCGGCGACCTCGCTTGCGCTTGCACCACGCAGCTTGCACCACACAGCTTCCACCACATAGCTTACACCACATTGCTTGCACCACATGTCCCACGCCACCTAGCGTTTCTCCACATAACGTACACCACATAGCTTACACCACGTAGCTGGCACCACAACGCTCTTACCACACAGCTTGCAACACATAGCTTCCACCACATAGCTTACACTGAATAGCTTGAACCACATGTCCCACACCACATAGATTTGTCCACATAGCGTACACCACATAGCTCACACCACATAGTTGGCACCACAAAGCTTACACCACACAGCTTGTAGTACGTAGCTTGCACCACATAGCTAGCACTACATATGTTGCACTCTGTAGCTTGCACAACATAGCCTGCA